CTGATATTTTTAATAATATTAGGAAGTCAAACCCTTCAAAATGTGAAATTCAGTCATCTTATCTATGCATTTCTTTATTAGCTTACCCAAATACATATCTTTTAAAGACCTGATTCCTATTCAGTGGCTTTTCCACCATCGTTCATTTCTCATGTCTGAAGTCTAGTTGACCATGTCTATAACGTGTGTATTCTGATTCCTATTTTCATAAGAATATGTAGTTGCCTCCTGTGATGAACCATTCTACAGTATTTTGATAGATGGTCTGGTTTTAGAAATACTGAGCCTGGCGTGGGGGCACATGGCTATAATCCCAGCACTCAGGAGGGGCAGCAGGAGGACTGTAGCCTGGACAACTCAGTGGGATGTTTTCTCTGAAAAAGATACAACTCAGAGAGAAAAAGGCCCTGGGTTCAATCCTAAGTACTTTAAAAAATTTTTTAAATTCAAAAGTGATTACAATAGTTGAAAAAGCAAAGAATCAAAACATATTGGAACGCTGTTTTCTTTTCTTTTTTATAATCTTTTATTTGGTTCCAGGTCTTGTTACACAGTTCAGACTGGTAGCGATCCTCTTATCTCAGCCTTCCCAGCTCTACCACCATGCCCAGTTTTGGGAGTCCAGAACAGCATAAGGTACCAGGGATCGAACTCAGGTCCTTGTGTTTGTCAGGCAGGCACTTAGACCCCCAAGCTATCTCCCCAGTCCCAAAGTAGGGTTTTATTTATTTATTTTTTTAATCTTTTATGGAACACTGTTTTCTAAGCCAGGGATGTATACTGCTTGCTCCTGGCATTATTTGACAAACCTGTGGCAACCCTGCTGTAGCTATCCCACTAAATTCTCTCCAGTGATAAACCTATCATATACTTAAAAGCACCCTGAAACATTACCTGGCTAATCACCAGGTCAGTGAAAACCCACCTCTTTTTGGCCACTAGTGCTGCCACTACCCAAGCAGGCACCCAAGTCTCACCACCCCCAACCCTATCTCACTTTGAAGCAGGACAGCAATCAACGACACACACCTTCAAAATTTACGACGTCACTGTGCCTCCCAGCATGGGTACTGACACTTAGCAATATCAAAAACAAGCAAAAGCCCTGAGTGTTCACCCAAATGCAAATCTTTTGCTGAAGTCTAAGGGATGAAGTCACAGCAATACCTTCTCCCTCACCGGGGAATGGAATGCGCTCACATTTTTAAACAGAATTCCTTATCTTAGTTGTTTCCTAGGTAGTATTCAAAAGGTGTCAGATTTCTCCCTGGCCTCTACAGCATGCGCTAACTCCAGTCTTCACACCGTGACCAAGGGCTTTGCGCTTGGGCCCCCTCCTGTCAGTTCCTTAGCACCGGACTCAATTGGAAACAGCAGTTCTAACTGAATGGTCCACAGCTCTGGACACTCACTTATAAAACAAGAACAACAAAAAAAAACTTGCTATTATCTTACAGAAAAAGCAATCAAATACGCAAGCCATGGATTACAACATTCACATAGAACATGTAATTCTATTATTTCTTCCTACAGCTATTTGATTTTAATTCTTCAGTAAAGTATGAGCACATGTATATCTTTAGTACAAAAAGAAAATCTGGTAAGTGGAAAGCTTAACATCCTACTCACAAACATCTTGGTACTGGGTTTTGATAGTCAGTCTGTGCTTTAATATATATATCCTGCCAAGTTCTTTCTGGCTTGAGAAACCCAGGGGAGCCACAGCCTTCCCACGGGTCAGTGAGCACCCACTTCCTGACATCAGAGCACTTTCTGACAACGACATTCCCAGTTCATCCTGTGGTCCCTTGTGTCAGTCAAACCCAGGGCCTGAGTGCAGCAGGCCTGTTGTTCCACAAGCTCCTCTACATACAGGAGGAACTGCTGGTCCGGCTGGTAATCACCCCCAGCATCTGACCAGAGACGACACGACCCAGGGCCACCTCACGTCAGCAGTGGCTTTGCTATTGACATTAAGAACAACGGCAGACAGGAAACTTTCTACCATCTCAGCTTTTGAAAGGGGCTTAACAAATGACCAGCAAGGTCATTTCTATTTCAGAGGCCCAGAGAGAGGCCATGGCCGAGGTAGGTAACGGTCATACTACAGGTATGGCTTGACCAACAGGAACTTTAGAAAAAAAATTTTTTTTAATTTATTGAAGGACAGAGCCAACAAAATATCTTTAGGAGAGGAAAGAAAAAAGAAAAGGAACAACTATCACCTCCCAAAATAAGATCAACTACTAAGAACAGTCAAAAGGTGAGACTAGCTGATTGTCATTTTGACCTTGCTTTGCTTTAATTCAGCAGACTATTTAGAAATGTAAGAAGCAACCCCTTTCATTCGGCTCAGCTAGCAGGGCTAATAGGCTTCTAATTAATTTCCAGAAGATTGCTGTTATAACTAACAGGTTTTAAACATTTGGTTGATTGGGGAAAATGAATTGAATATAATGTATTTGATTTGGAAAATTAGTTTTCATTCTATGTGCTTACCATAATAGTGTTTATTTTAAGTTTACATGATTCCATTAAGAGTCCCAGAACACACCGGGTTGTTTTCATCCCTATAGAGTCCTATCCAACTTTAAAAAAAAAAAAAATCAATTTACATTTAGATTTTTGTTGGCCTTTATTTGAGGGCAGGTTAAATTCGTTTCTGTGGCTTTAATAAAATCTTTGCTTGCTAATATAGCAATGGGCCCCAAATACTTCAAAATGATCCCAGCGATAGCTCAGTCAAAAGCCCACTCATCGAATGCAAATCCTCCCGAGAAAGGCTCTGCACACAGAGCGAGATGAACCAGCCAACGCATTGTTTATGAAGTTTCACTTGATTCCTCCTGACAACCATTTAAACAATGAATGTTGGGAAATGTCCCTCAAAGAATCAACAACAATGCAGGGATCAGTGCTTTTATATTTAGCTAATACTATTTTTAAAAGGAGAAAATATTTCTTCCTGAAGGGATTATGGGAAGCCTTATTAAAGACACCTGCAAACAAAACAAGTGACAATAGGTCTTTATCATAATTGATAACTGAGTTATGTTTGATATCAAACACCTTTCTTGGAGACAATGCCATGAAGATTTGCCTTTGCTAAAGATTCAAGAAGTCAGCTAATTGGGCCCAGGAGTATTCTACTATGGTTAAGTTTACCAAGATTATGTAAGTAGATAATAATAATAATAATAGTAATAATAATAATAATAATAAAAGACGCTAGTCTATCTGGTTAAACAGAAGTATGAGACTAGCATTTCCTCTCCGCACACTGCTGAGAACGGTTTATACTGAAATCGAGCAGCATCCGCCCCTTTCCCTCCACAGGCGACAGAAGACACGCAAGGGATTCTAATTACAGGGCTTGCCCTGCGAAGCGCACAGTGGGCCAGCTGGCTTCGGATACCCAGCCTTGGCCTGGCTTACACTTGTGAAGAAACAGAACTTTTCACAAAGTCTTCTCGGAGTCATTAACAATCGCTGTCAAAATGTGTACTTCTAGGCAAGGAGCGAAAATGTTTTAGTGGAAGACCGCTTGGGGGGGATAAATAAAATAGCAAAATCCAGCAAGATATGTTAGAGGAAAAATAAATTTCCAGAAGAAAAAAAAAAAATCAGATGTGCTTATTTGTAGTAAAAGGGGGAGTTCCAGGTAAGTCCCAAGTTAGGTCACCTTGGTACACAGTGCTTGCTCCACAGGTGACGCTGTTTGCAGGGGGATGTTCATTCCTGCCTTCCTGTGTGACTAATGACTTCTGGTCATCATCTGAGGCCTACTATTGATTTTTCTGTTATAACTTATTTTTCAAGTTAAGTAACAATGAATTCTTTTATGCCAGGGACTTCAGTGGGGATCTAAACTTGGAAGATCAACTGACCACTAAAAAAAAAGGGGTAGGAAGGACCACGAGGACTGAGCCATAATCAGAGAGCCTGATGGTGGCTCTTCCTTTTTTTTTTGGCCCTCAATTATGGCTCATGGTAAGAAATGCTATAAACTGGCACTTAGGGAAAGCGAAAAAGGTTCCAACTCCTGACAGGCTAGCCATAGGAGTTGGGATTTTAGAATATGCTCAGCTTTTGATAGATGCATTTCATTTCCAAAATAAACACTTGAGTAAAAAGAAGTTTCCCCAGCCCAAGTAACTGAAAAGAAGACAGAATTAAACAGCAGGTAAAATAAACAGCGCATGAACAACAATACTGAGTAGGGGCTGTGAGGGGAGGTGACTACACATCACCCTCCAGGACCTCAAGTTCAGAAAGAAAACAAACGTTTTACAGAAGGTATTTCTGAGAGATTTCTGGGTTTTTTCTTTAGACACTTTAAGACAGAGCAATGAACCTGTGAAAAGAAAAGCTGCCTAGAAAAACAAAAAAAGACATTTTCGGAGATGACTTTGATCCTGTACTCAAATTATTGGCTTAAACACGCTTGCCTTCAAAGTCTTTGTATCTGAAATAACTGCTCTCTATTGTCCTTGTGAACAGAGTATTATTTTCACCTTATTATTACTAATCTTTCCTTTGTAAGTAACCACACCTGGTTTTATCCCCCTCCCAAAGGGAGAAGAAAAAAAAAGTGCAGTAAATATTTGCCCTTTGTGGTAATGCAATGCATAATTTAGTTAATCTGGGCTATCTTTCCATGAGAGGTGATTGTTTCTATATTATGAAATGCGTTCACAAAGAAGTGAAATCCACGCCAGATACCTGGAAGGCAGACAGAGAGCCACTTACCCAGCATGTAGCTGCCACAAACCAACCCTGACAGGACGGCATGACCACTCCTACACAGGAAGTGTTACTCATGCCAACTTAGCCTCCGATTCAGAACCACACCTTTTTTACAAACATGGGCTTTTTATTAAGGTAACATTACACCTCACTGGGCCAAGGGCCCTGCTCCTATTCCCTTCCTCCATGAAACAGCTTTGGAAAAATTAGGAACTTGTTATCCATTTGCCACGTTGACATTACTGTTACATTACCTGGATGAAATCTAGAAAGGTCAAGGGAAGCAAGTCATCCATATGTCCAATGTCTTTGGAGAAACGATTTAAAATTCTTCCTGCAAGAACAGGATATGAGAAATTACTCATTTCCCCAGATAGACCCTTTAAGAGAAACAATTCCCAAATAAATCAAAACAATATTTTAAATGCATATGTATTTAATATATTATGCATTCATATGAAATAAGCCAATGTCAATGGCAAAGAAAAAGAAAAAGAGGATGATACCTAAAGAGAAATAAAAATACCACCAAATGGTACTAAGCAGGGAATTACAATGTGGCCCTGATTTAAAGGGGGGAGGGGCTCTGGTGACAGTGACAGCATTCGGAAGAGTTTACAGGTTTTATTTATGTTCTTTACTTTTGCTGTATGTTTGGGTTGGAAAATTCTAGAACATTTCACAAATTTTGGTCCCACCTAGGACTTCAATCCAAGTAGGTAGATGAACAATAGGAAAACATTAAATTACTCATCTCAATTGTTAGGCTAATTTTGCTTTAGTTATCAGAATTTTGCTAAGCCGTACATTTTTAAATGAATATAACTGTAGCCTGTTTGGTTGGTTGGTTGGTTCGTTTTTGCCAGGATGGTTCATTGTACTTCTATTTTGGGAAAACCTGACATCTGGCCAGGCTAAGAGTACACTATTACAGTACAAGTCATTATTTTCAGACGCAAGCCACAGATGACAAAGGCAGACTGAAACATCTAAGACAAGAGGAATGAAGCAGGAAAATGGAAATAATACTTAATGCTTGAAGATGACTTCTTATCATTGATTTTTTTTTCCCTGTCAAGCAGAATCCAAGAAAATGGTATATCAATAAAAGCTTCAGAAACACAAGGTTAAAACTGGTATCTAATAAATATCTTCTAACTTTCTAATTTACTTAGTTTTTAAAAATGGAGCTATACTCACATAGAACCTATTTTGACGCCGGCAACCAACCAACCAACGTGTTTGCTGGCCCTGAGCTTATGTCCTCCCTGAGGCTCTGGGAAGCCCCGGGTGTCCTGGCCAGTGTCAGTCCAAGGGGACTTCCTCACACCTTGCATATCACCAAGCCACTGGGCCAGGAATGGCCAGGGGCTGGGCTGAGATTGTGCTGCCTCTTCCCCAGGGCACCTGGGCTCAGTGAGGACACCTGAGGTGCAGAGGTCACAGACAAGCTGAGCCGTGATGTTCCCGTCTCGGGCTCAGGACATACAGACTCCAAATGGCATCCCTCAGTGATATGCTTGGCAGGCTCAGTGACAACTTTCTTAGCCTCTAATAACATCTCCTTTAGAGCTGTCCCAGGGACTCAGTAGGGCATGCCCATGAGAGAAACCAGTCACAATGCCAGGCACTTCTTAACAGATGCACAACAACAAACAGAAGGTGGGATGAGGACTACTCCTGCAGGTTCTGCAGCATGCCATCCGCGAAGGCAGCTAAAGGCACTAGAATGCAGATGCTGGGCACCAGGTGGGGTGGGGAGCCTGAGAGTGTGCATTTCTAGCAAGCTTCCTGGCTGCCAGTGCTGCAGTGTCTCGGGTCATACTTGGACAAGCAAGAGGTCACACGAGTATTAACCACACACATTTGAGGAACACTATAATCAGATGAACATTTTTTCCCACCTATTCTTACAGATTTTATAGCCTGTCTAGTTATATTTTTAACTTCTCAAAACTCAATACCAAAAGAAGGAAAAGCAACACTAACAAAACACTAAATACACTAAAATTCTTTCAATGGAATAGTGGCAACTTTTTAAATATAGGCAAGATTCCGAAACAATGAAAGTGTGCATCTGCTTAAAATGTCAAGAAACTTTTTTTCTTAAAAACGATGAATGTACTACATAGAGATGATCGGTACATGAAAATCACCCCTTTGTCTTCTACTAAATACAAGAATATTAAGGTCTAGCAGGTCCACAATTTGCCAAAAGCATACAATACAGTATAAACCCAAACCACCAAGAAAAGCTCTCTCTCCACAGAGCTACTTCAATAACTACCAAAGACTGTTCAAAACCCAAACTCTTATTCACCAGCTAAGTACAGAAAAAGGTGAGATCAGAAAGTTCAATAATTAACACTTCATCAATCTAAGAAACTATGAAGTCCAAGAATGGTGTTTGCAGAATGTTTTCATCTGGCTTTGTGGGAAGTCAACTGAAACCGGAGCTGTGATGTCAAGTTTATGCCTCACAGTCCTTTTCTCAGAGCTACCAGATCAAATCTGTTGATGGACTCCCTCCGTGCTCCTGCCATGCCTCTCCATCCCAGCAACACGCAGCCCCTGCTGAGATGTGGCCAGCAGGTAATGGAAGGGAAGTCAGTTTCCTGGGGAAGCTCCGCCCACTTTCCAACAGTTCAGTTACAAAGGGTCTGCGCACATTAAACCCTCCTGGAACATCCAACGGTTAAGTGCTGCTTCTTCTGCACTTTTAGACATCTGGCAGTGTGGCCCATCTTCTTTGTGACTCCAGACAAAACAGGCCAAGAACATGGTGGAGGCTCACAGAGTGAAATGAAGCAGGAAGAACAGCAAGAATGAGGCTGCATGAGGCCCTCCTCCTCGGACACTCAGTAGAAGCAGGACTTCACAGAGCTTGTCCAAGCTCAACTGAAACTCAAGCTCCTCATCTGTAAAATGCAGGTGCTAAATTTGTCTCAACTACTTGACAGGGTCAAAGATCAAGAGGATAAAAGAGGTCATAATTGCAAAGGTATCTGTAAATTTGGAAGCAGCACACACAACTTAGTCATTATTACTGTAGGGTTTTAGAACTTGAAGGGGCATGAAAGAGCTTGAGGACTAGTAATTTCAGAACTCCATCTAGTGAAGATTCTGAGATTCTACCCAGAGTATCCCCATGAGGCAGAGGAGGAGGCCAGGCAGGCACACCCAGCTCCAGATGCGCTAAGCTTCTCTTCAGGTACCTGATGTCCACTGGACGTTCACATAGGAATCACCTCTAAAGAAGGCTTCTTCAGGCAACAGAAATGTTCATGAGCACCCTGCGGACCCAGCTCTGTTAGAGACGAGGAGACAAAGACCAACCTCAAAGAGATACAATCTCATGAGGAGTGGATGCTGTCTGCCCAGCCTTCTAGGGGATTTCCACACCACAGAACAATGGGCAACCCCATTCTCAGAGCAGCTTCCTTCAGTGGCCTTTGCTGGCTCTCACTTTTTTTTTTTTTTTTTCCTGAGGATAAAGCCACTGGCTGACTTGTTTTTTGGTTCTCTTTCTAAAATTTGCTTTCATTATTTTCATTTCCTGTTTATTTAGGCATCCCAAATCTTATCTTCACCTCTGATCTCCCTAGACACACTCAGATAGATATACCGCTATCTTCCGAAATCTCTTAAACTTGATGTAATAAAGTCAAATAGAATCCTCTGGAACTGACCCACAATGACCCATCTCCAACTTCTCCATCTGTGTTAGACCTAGGCCCACAGACCCAGCACAGACATATCTAGGTCACTTTTGATTCATCTTTATCTCAAATACCACCTTATCTTCATTTTCCATTTAAGATAACTTCATTTACATATTTATTTCTTTATCAAATCAACTCTCTCAAGCTTTTAGGAACAGTAAGGAGACAGCAGGTACTCACCTAACCTGCTATCCATCCCTCCTGCCGAGGCACCTTTGTTCTCATTGAGGGGCTGACTGCCCTTTCTCTCTCCAGGTCCTCAGTTCTCACTCTACTCTACATCCCATGGCCTCAGCCTTAGTCCTTTAGCCTTCCCAAGCCCTTCCAAGCTGATAAGTGTAGGAAACTAACCGTCTTGAATTTCTTCGTTAATACTGGACAGACCCGATACTTGCAACACCCTTCTGAAGAACTCCCCCACTGCGCTGGCTACTATGAAGGCAGCAGAAGCAACCAGGGGACCTGTGCCCAGCTGTCAAACGATTCATGGCCCCTCTTAGTATAATGGTCCATAAGAACAGCAGAAGGGGGCAGACACATTATCCAATGCAAAGAGGCTAAGCAAAGGGCATAGCAGATGCACAAGCCTTGTGGCAGTGGCTCCCAGTTCCCACCAGGAACACTGGGAGCTCAGTCCCAGGACAGTCAGTTGTGCTTCACCTCCGGGAACTGTCCTGGGCTCCTTCCAGTCCATCCCTTCTCCTCTGAACCAACTCAGAGACGCCCTGCCCCAGCAACCCAAAAGCCCTGACCATAAAACAATGTCCATGTTTGAAGGTACGGTTTTTCGGGTGCTCTGACGAGCGACTATCTCAGTTTGTTTCATGACATCCCCTAGACCACAGTACACTCTCCTTAGTGCCTCTTACTTTTCACGTGCATTACTTTTGAATTCATATCTAGATTCATACAGTGTTTATAAGCATGGGCTACATTTCACACAGCACCAATCATCAAGTATCCAGAAAGCGTGAGTACTGGATTTGCTAGTGACATAAGAGATCCAACAGTCACCCAACTTTTCATAAAGATGGGGCATCTTCTAAGTAGATGCACTCTTGTGCAAAAACACAAACTAACTCACAAGATAAAAATAAGAAAAGTGGCTCTTACTGAAAGACAGACAATGAGGCCTGGAGCCTACTCCATGACCATCGTCCCATGTGTCATTCAGGGGGACATGACAGGAAAGATGATTGCTGCTCACAACACACCAATGGTGCTCCCTAGTCTTCCGAAGTCTGCAAGCACAGCGAGGAACCCTGGGAGCACGTAGGCATCAGAATGGGTCTAAGCGAGAAATAGTCTAACACAGCAGAAAACAGCGCTTCTCAAATTCTATTCTGCACATTCGTCATCGGGGACTCCTAGGAAAGCACATAGCCTCCAGAGCTCTAGCCAGGGCCTGGGATTCAGCATTTTCAACAATGGATACTAAAGCTGCTGGTTGAGGGGCCACTCTGATGAAAGAGAAAGATTCTGAAAAATTTCTGGTGACTTTTCTGCCTTCAGAAGTAAACCATTTGTCTCATATATACAGAGTTCATTAAAAAAAAGTGCACATACTTCAGGAAAAGAAAAACAGCATGATATTTTGTCAACAGGTGGTGTT